ATCGATAATCAGGAACTGGTTAGTTGTTCTATGATAACACGAAATGGAAATAATATGTATGCCCTATAACACTATATGTTGGGGGTATTATAAGTTTTATTGGGCCAAAAATTATGTTGTTTCCAAAATAGGAAAGTACACGTGGATCTTTCTATCTCGCGTTCCGTCTGTCCACGTTAATTTGTCATCACGCTATAGCCTGATTCTCACAAAATTAAAAATGGAGGTGGTGTTTTGGTCAGAATAGGAGCCTATTGCTTGTGGAGATGATGGCATAATATTTAGGGGTTGAAATGGACCAAAAACTGAAAGATTTCCTGATTTTGAAGTTGCTCTACAGGTCGCAGTTATAGACCAATCGACACTAAAGTTAGCATGGGGCTAGAGTTTAAGGCTGGATGGTCCTCGGGTAATATTTAGTGGATGAAATAGATCATAACATTTGTGTCAAATCAAAGTCAAATTTTCCATTAAACCGCGAATATTATATATACCATAGGTATGTAGAAAAGGAAGGGGATGTTAGCTAAAGTTCTTATATCTCAAGAATGGCTGGACCCATTTTGACAAATTTTGTCACTTCAGAATGGGGTTATTGTATACAGATGGCGATTATCGACCTATCTTCACGAAAATTGTCATAAGTGTAGGGTTAGGTTCAGTAGAAGGGTTAGGCATAGGCCTATCGTTTTTAAATATGTTCGCAATATATTTAGGGGTTGAAATGGACAAACAACAAAAAATGTTCCTGATTTTGCAGCCGCTATAAAGGTCACAAAGAGAAACCAAGGGACACAAAACCTCGCAAGATATTAGAGTTTAGGACAGCGATTGGAATGGACCACTACTTTTGAATTGGGAAAACATATCAACTTATCCATTCTACCGAAACGCTGAAAATAGCTAACAGGCGAAATCCAAAATACTCAAAAGGCGAACTTCTGGCTTTTTATACGTTTTTATACGTTTATAACACCTTGAAATATACATTTTAGACCCCACAAAGTATATATATTCTTGATCAGCATACATTTCTATGTCGATTTAGCGATGTCCGTCCGTCTGTGGAAATCACTCTAGCTTCCGAACGAATTGAAGTAGATTGATAATATTTTACTCAAATGTCTTCGTATAGCCCCCATATAAGAGTACCTCCCGATATTCGGTAATTTGATGATTTTAGCGACATTATTCACCGGAATTGTTTCAAATTTGGTATTTGAAGTTCGCAATAAATACTACAGCATAAGACAGAAAATTGTCGGCGCAGGTCAACGTCTTCGTATGCCCCCCGTATAACGGTACCTCCCGATATCCGGTATTTTGATGATTTTAGCGACATTATTCGTGGATACTTTAGCCTAAGACAGAAAATTATCGGTACAGGTCCACGTTTTGGTATAGGCCCCAAATAATGAGGTATTTTGATGACTTTAGCTACATTATTCACCTTTTTTTTCTAAGTTTCGCATTTGACAAAATGGCTTATGACAAAATTTACCTATGCAAGTCCATGTCGTTGTATTGACCCTAATATAACAGCTACATTCGGTATTTTTGAGATTTTGAACAGATTTTTTAATGGATTTTATTGTTTTTGAGAATTGCCAAACTCGTTCCAAATAGTGGAGAGTATTTAAAGTTCGGCCCGGCCGAACTTACAGCTTTTTTACTTGTTTATGCTGAATTCGTTGACGAATATAGCCAAATATCGTAGAAAAACAAATCATATAGATGATTCTAAATTTGGAGGTACGAGGGGGCCTCTTTTTCGGAGACAATCGCATGTAGGGACAAAAGAACAAAAAACAGAACAATTTTTCTGATTACACAATTGAAACTAATCGACAAGGAATTTTTTATGAGAGGACAGGGAATAAGTATAGCATTTTGGATGACCATTTTATTATATTTAGCTGTAAAATGGACCACAAGAACTAACAGCACGACCGAGTGCAAAAGCGAAATCTTCCAAAATGGATGTAAACATAACATATTGTAGTGTTGTAATTAATTAATGACGAAAACTTTTTTACACATGGCTTCTCTTATGGAAAATGTGGCGGATTATTTGAGAAAAGAGTGAAACTATTTAGAAAAATTTGAGCTGTGGTTTATTAAAAAAAAACGAAATTATTTTTTAATATATTAAATATATGAATATTTTTGTGTTGGTTAAACATGTCGACCAACATATAATTTTTTAGAAATACCTACAATGATATCAAAATATAAATATTCAACATTTCACATGTACACATATTTATACACATTGCTATGCTGTGCACACACTCTCTTTCGAATTGCTCCACAATGTATGCCATAAAATTCCAAAGAAAGTATGTATGCCTGATGGGTATGCAATGTTTTTAGCACTGGCTTTTGTTAAGGAATTGAGCCTCAAACCAAATCCTTGTTTTGTTTCAAGTTAGCGCCTGTAGGTGGTATTGTTGAGTCAAACAGAACAAAAAAAGAGACAGCTTTTGTATTTGACATTTCTGTGTCAGTGTGTGTTCTGAGCCTGCTATTATGGAACGGCCATGTGTTGGCCATCAATGTCAATGTTCTGACTGACTGGTAACTTACAGGTGTCAACGATTTTTTTTTTTTTGCTTTGCAATACTTTCTTTCACTTGTGTTGCCCCTCATCAGAAATGTGGTGAGACAATTTCCACTCAATAAATTCTGTTTAGTTGGGGATTTTAGGAAATGGACTTTCATAAGGTATTATTTGGGAATTTATTAGGATCAATATTTTGCAAAAAAATATACAAACTTTTTCGCTATTGAGAAATTAAAAAAAAAAAAATTTCTAAACAAAAACTATTAGTATAAACTTTAACGTAAATATAAAACAAGTAGGCAAAGGCTATAGTCGTGCGTGGCCGACCATGTGATATCCTACAACACTACAACATATTAGAAGCCCCCTTATGTCCAAATACATTTTGGAAGATTTTGCTTTTGATATTATGTCACGGAGCACTGGTCCTTAGCATTTTGAGCAGGAATATTTGCCCAATATTTACGCACTTCATCGAGCTGTTAGTTGTTGTCGACTTCTTTGCTGTCTCCAACTCTCTTCTCAGGCGTGTTTATTGGCTTCAATTGTTTGATCGGAATTTTTTTTTCTATTTTTGGTCGATGACGTGGACCTGTATAGGCAACTTTTGTCACATGCTATTACAATATTCAAATGCGAAACTAAAAATATCCTCCGAATATAGGGAGGAACCATGGGAGTTGTAAAATGTGGACCTGCACAGACAATTTTTTGTCACAGGCTGTAGTATCCATTACGAACTTCAAATACCAAATTTGAAAAAATTCTGGTAAATAATGTCGCTCAAGTCATCAGAATACCGAATATCGGGGGGTACTGTTATATGGGGGCTATGCGAAGAAGTGGACCTGCATGGCCCATTTTCTGCTTTATGCTGTAGTATCTATTACGAACTTCAAATACCAAATTTGAAACAATTCTGGTAAATAATGTCGCTAAAATCTTTAGAATACCGAATGTCGGGGGGTACCGTTATATGGGGGTTATACGAATAAATAATGTAAATAATGTCGCTAAAATCATCAAAATACTGAATATCGGGGGTACCGTTATATGGGGGCTATACGACGACGTGGACCTACATGTCCCATTTTTAATACCAAAAGTCCTGCAGACATAATACACATTTGAGTAAAATTTTATCAACCTACTTCATTTCTTTTGGAAGCTAGAGTGATTTCCGCAGACGGACAGACGGACGGACATTGATAAATCGACATAGAATTTTATGTTGATCAAGAATGTATATATATATATATATATCTATATATATATATATATATATATATATATATATATATATATATATATATATATATATATATATATATATATATATATATATATATATATATATATATATATATATATATATATATATATATATATATATATATATATATATATATATACTTTGTGGGGTTTAAAATGTATATTTCGAGGTGTTATAAACGTAATGACAAACTTAATATACCCTCTATACTATGGTGTAGGGTATAAAAAGACAGAAGTTCGCATTTTGTGTACTTCGAATATCGCCTGTAAGTAATGTTGGTATTTTTTCACACAAAAATAATGGTCCAGTCCCCTTCCTTTGTTTATACACTTTTTATATATTTCGCTTTATATATCCGATATATTTACTATCGGCATCTATGTAACGGTCAGAATTGACCTGTTCGTCAATTTATGATTTCACAGAGACTAATGGAAAATTTGACTTTTATTTCACACAAATGTTATAGTCTATTTCACCCACTTAATGTTACCCGATGACCATCAAAATTGGAAGGGTTCTACCCAGCCTTAAGCTCTAGTCCCATGCTAACTTCCGCGTCGATTGGCCTATAATTGCGATCTGTAGAGCAACTTCAAAATCAGGAAATTTTTCCGTTTTTGCCCCATTATGCGATCTAAAAGCAATAGGCTCCTATTTTGACCATAACCCCACCTCTATTTTCAATTTCGTGAGGATCAGGCCTATTGTGACCTATAGCGTGATTATAAATTAATATGGACAGACGGAGGGACGGACTGACATACATAGCTATATCGACTCAGCTCGGCGAGATAAGAAGATCCATATATACTTTCCCATGTGGGAAACCAATATTTCGAGGTGTTACATAATTTTTGGCCCAATTAAACTTATAATACCCCCAACACATAGTGATGTAGGGTATAAATCATTTCTAATAAAATAACACAAAGAAAGATAAAACAATTAATCAAACCAAAATTTCTTTTAGTATAAATTCCAACACAAATGTGAAAGAATCCCTCTAGCAATTAAGTACATTTAAAATTTACCAAATATCTTTGATAGTTTCAAATTTAAGCATATCTCAAAACTAAAATTAAGAGAATCACAAAATTAAAAACCATATGCTTCCTTTACTATGTGAGTTTAATTTCTATATTTCATTTTCATTTTCAGATGGTTGCCACCGACGAGAATGCTTCCACACAGAATACACCCGACAGCGGAGGCACATTTGGAAAGTTAAAACAGACATTATCATCATCACTGCTAACAGCCCAAGATAGAGGTGAGTAGATTCCTGCCGTTCATAATAATTTACCCCCACACACACTTATCTATATTAGACCCAAGGCATTTGGATGTTTTGGAAAAGGTGGAAAGAAATTCGCTTGTGGCAAAAGTAAAACGAAACAAAAACTGACACTGCACAAATGTTTACTCTTTACAAGTACTTAGTGGGGTTAGAAATATCAAAAAAAAAAAAATATTTTTTTAGGAAAAATAAAATGACTTAAGCTTTTGGCAATTTACCAAAAAATGTAATTATTTAGAGCATTTAGATACTTGGATGTGTAAGAGCAGAATAATGTGATACACAAAATTGTCTCAAGGAATTTAGAAATATTTCATCCTTTTTATACCCTCAGCAATATGGCTAGAGGCCAAAACGTGCATCAGGACATTTGGAGTCGATCTAGCGATGTCCGTCCGCATGTCTGTCTGTCGGGCTGGCTGGTGCGCACGATAACTCTCTAAGGGAGTAACCGATTTGATCCAGGCTTGGAACATCGTAATATTATTATCAAGTCAAATCCACTCCTTCTGGTGATTCCTACACAAAAGGTCGAAATAAAAAAAACCAAGTAAAAAACAAGTAAGCAAAGGCTACAGTCGAGCGGGGCCGACCGTTGAATACCCTACAACACTATAATAAACGATACTGTTTATATAGGCGAGATACTCGAAAGAATTCCACAAGATATTGTAACAAATTATAAAAGAATACCATCAGGTTTCGTTCTCTAATTTTCGAATAATAGCAACTTAAACTGATTTCCTCATTTCCAATTTATTGGTAAATGTTGCACGTAAATGGTCTTCCTAGATCTGGAACCAATATTTCCCAAAGACCTATAACCTCTCAGAAGTGGCAAAAGATTAACATTTATTATTGGTTTTTGACTGAAACGCATGAGATACAGATATTTGACTATATTCTTCCACGAAATCAGCGTTAACGAAATAGTCAGAAGTGCGTCTTTCCTGTATTTGTGAATTCTCCAAAGAGTCCCTGGAATAAACATTTTCGTATTTTGTCTACAAAAGTTGGCAAACTATTTCGCACATTGAATATTTTTGGATGACCATCCAAAACTGCTTGGCTTTTGCAATGTCCGGTAACCTCCATTCAAATGTGCGTGAGGATCGGGCGATAATAACGACCTGCTGACAATTTTGCAGTTTTTTGGTCCATTTCAACCCCTAAATATATTGCGATCATCTCCAAAAAGAGTAGGCTTCTATTCTGACCCTCATCTTATACCCATGCAAAATTTCGTAAAGATCGGGCCATAAATGCGATCTGTATATGATATCTTGATATCCTAACTACTTAGTTTTGTTAGCTGTAGAAATATTACCAAATGTTTAATTCAAAATGAAAATATGCCAAAAATATGACAAAATTGAAAAAATATGAGAAAATGTTACAAAATCAATATTTTCATCTTTAGAGAGATATTTTTATGTGATTTTTTTAGATGTTTCTTGTTTCCTGCCAAGAGGCCATTCTGAATTAATGAGAACTGTCGAAATCAGTTCAGCCGTTCTCGACATATAAGAGATCTTTCAAGCAAATGTTCTTTGATAGACATATATATCGCACATATTTTGCTATATATCCGATTTGTTGGATGTTAACATCAATGTAAAGGTCAGGAGTAACCTTGTCATGTCTTCGTGATTTCGCCGGGATTTAAAATATTCGCGGTTTAAGGAAAAATGTTGAATTTTTTCAACACAAAATATATGGTCTATTTTACCCGCTAAATATTATCCGATGACCACCCTAATTGGTAGGCTTCTTCCCCGCCCTAAACTCTAGCTACATGCGAAATTCCGCGTCGATTGGTCTATAATTGCGACCTGTATAGCTACTGCAAAATCCGATATTTTTTCAGTATTTGGTCCATTTCGACCCCTAAATATTATGCGTTCATCTCCAAAAGAAATAGGGTTCTATTCTGACCCTAGCCCCACCTCCATTTTAAATTTCGTGAAGATCGGACCATAATTGCGACCTGTAGAGTGGTTACAAATTAACATGGACAGACGGACAGACGGACGGACGGACATACATAGCTAGATCGACTCAGCTCGGTGAGCTAGGAAGATCCATATATACTTTCCTATATGGGAAACCAATATTTCGAGGTGTTACATAAATTCTGGCCCAATCAAACTTATAATACCCCCAACACATAGTGTTGTAGGGTATAATTAAGTTCGGCCGGCCCGAAATTTTAATACTCTCCACCTTTTTATACAAAAGTACCTTAATTTAAACTTGTGTCACTTTAAACTTCATATACCAGTAAGATTGTTTGGAAAATACAGTTTAACTTGTCAAGAAACTATAAAAAGGGTGAGGCCGTTATATAGGGCCATACCAAAACAAGAACCTCTATAGACAATTTTATATTTTAAGGATTGTCATCTATCAAATCTTCTAAAATACCAAATATGAAACAATTATGTGGGCAAATGTGACTATGATTATCAAAATAACGAATATAGGTGGGTATCGTTATATGTGCGCTATATGAAAACGTGGAACTAAAAATTTAATGATCTGCCACCGGGCTAGAACCTTTTATGAACTACAAATACCAATTTGTATCAAAATATCAAATGTCGGCAGGTACCGTTATATGGGGGCCATACCAAAAAGTGGACCTATACATACAATGTTTTGCCACCGGAGCTAGAAATACGAATTTTTAGACAAATCCGTGAAAAATGTGGCAAAAAATAATCAAAATAACAAATATCGGACTCTACCGTCATATGGGGACTATATAAAAACGTGGAATCTATGTATCTCACTTTAAATCAATACCAACCATCCTAGACCCAATACAAACTCTTCTGCTAAATTTGTATGTTCTACGTCAAATAATATGGGCTGTAACGTGATTTCAAAAGACAGACGGACATCGTTAAATCGACTAAGAATATTGTGCTGATTAAGAATTTATATACTTTATCGGATCTACGGCCAATATTTAGGGATGTTACAAACGAAATGACAAAGTTAAAATAACCTGTGGAGGGTGGAGGGTACAAAAACTTATTTTACTGCACAGAAAGAGAAAGGATACTCTGAATTTTCTCCAACTTTGCACATCCTAATATTTCCATCAGTGCTTCGTCAGGTGTGAAGATGGACAATATCGGTCCAATCACCCAAAAAGGTTAAAAGTTTTCAATATTTATACCTCTTATAATATGTGATATAAGAGTCCGATTATTCGCATTCTACACGTGCCAATATTTTTATCAACCCCAGGTCTGGTGTGAAGATGCTATACAGGGTGAGATAAAAAAACTGCAACAAAGTCAAACGCCATAACTATTATTTTATTAATTTTTTTTTATTTTATTGAACGAAAGCAAAAATGTCGGAAATAGCATCACATTTTAGAATAAATTTAGATTTGTTCGAATTGGTCACCTTTAGCACGAATTATGGCCTTCAAACGGCCAATGATACCGTCACACTCTGCCCGAATGTTGCTCTGCGGTATTTTGGTCCATTCCCGGCGAAGCGCTTGCTTGAGGTGGTCGACATTTTGGTACTTTTTTGGGCCAACCTTGCTTTCCAAAATACTCCAGACACAATAGTCCAACGGATTGTTATCCGGAGATTTTGGTGGCCATTGTGCGTTGGAAATGAAGCGAGGAACCTCAGTTTGTAACCATTCTTGGGTGGCGCGTGCTAAGTGCTGGGTCCTGTTTGAATGTCCAAGGCCGATTAATGCCACGGTCAATTAATACGAGCGGAGAGCGACCAACTTCTGTTATGTCGGCCCACACCATCACCATGGCCGGCGCTTGAGTTCTGGTGGCCAACGGAAGGTGCACATTTTCAGCTGACCTCTTTGGCAAGTACTGCTGGACATGTTGCTGGAATGTTTTCTCACCGGAGAAAAACAAATTCGGCAGTTTACCACTTTCGGCCAAGCGAAGCAACTCTTTGGCTCCTTTGAGTCTATTTTCTTTCTGTTGCGGTGTAAGTTTTTGCAGTCCGAGCTTATTTTGCCGTATGGAATATTGCGATATGTTCAGCTCACGAGCCATTTTTCGGCCACTGCGACGCGGGTTCCGATCAAGTCGCATCTTTACTTTTCAAACCATTTCTGCTGATGTTACTGTTTTCTCCGTCCACTTCCTTGACGTCAGGCTACGCTATCAGTATCACGGTAAAGAGCGATGGTACGAGTCACAAAAGATTTATTCACATTTAAATGCTGGAGTGCTCTAACGATAGCCACCTGTGGTTTTCCAGACAAATATAAAAAGATCACATTATCACGCTTGGAGTCCATCACGAATTATACGCTTGTAAAAAATATAATGAGCTGTCACTGGAATAATTCTAACGGCTGTCGGACAAGTGGCTTAGAAATGACAGCAGTCTGAAGTTGGTTGCAGTTTTTTTTTCATCTCACCTTGTATATCATCTTCACAACAGATCTTGTATTTATTTATGCGATATAAATAATTTTATAATAAAAAAAACTGTAAGTTCGGCCGGGCCCAACTTTTAATACCCTCCACCATTTGGTACAAATTTGACAATTTCCAAAAACAAAAAAAAAAATAAATAAATAAAAATGAAATAAAATAAAATCCGTTAACAATTCTGTTAAAATCTTAAAAAAAATCTTTGTCATAGGTTATTACAATAGTTAAATGCGAAACTTGAAGGAAAATCTCTTTATAATGTAGATGAAATCATATGGGGACTATACGTAGACGTGGACCTGCACAGATAAATTTCTGGCATGGGCTGAAGTATCCATTATGAACTTCACATCCGAAATTTTAAACAATCCCGGTAAATAGTGTCGCTAAAATCATCAAAATACCGAATATCGGGGGTTACGGTATATGGAGGCTATATGAATACGTGGACCTACATGACCCATTTTCTGTTTTATGCTGCAGTATCTATTACGAACTTCAAATACCAAATTTGGAACAATTCCGCTAAATAATGTCGCT